GCAGAAATGGAGTCGGCCTAGGCCTATATGCTCTGTCTCCAAAACCGTCAAATAAAAAGTTAAAAAACTTGTGAGAAATGTCCGACTCCTCCACGATCGAATCACCAAGGATGAAAAGTTATGCACAGCACGAAGAAGCAAATATCTCCGAAAACAAATTGAAGTGTTGACCACACAATAGGGCTTATCCAAAAAAGAGTAGGGCCTAGGCCTAAATCCAGAGGATATCCAAATGGAAGTGTTGACCACACAATATATATCCAAAAGTGAGTAAATCCAGAAGAAAGTATATCCAAATGGAAGTGTTGACCATACAATATATATCCAAAAGCAGTGGAAATCCAACACACAAATTTTTATTTCCAAATCACTGTTGTAAAAACAATTTACATGTACATGTATTCAGCTCAAGAAACTGTGACAAAGTGAGGCTATACATGTACACCGTCAAACCCACAATCTTCCTAGAGTCCCCAGATACAGCCAACTCTTTCATTGGTTAAAAGTTTTGCCTACCTCTCCTCTGATTGGAGAGCACCTCCTAAAACTTTGCATCTAATTTGCATAACACGGCACTCCCTAATATGGTGTTGACCTAGATGTTCTAGAAGTGTCCAGGCTATCTATTTTTAGCTATCATGTAGGCCAACTGTATAGACTTGAATTCCCTGTTTGCAGCCTCCAAAAACAGACTGGTAATCTAACAAGTACAATACAACTGAGTATAAATAATTTTATCTTTGAGGGATAAAATGTGTTATATCCAAATGTGTGCAAAATGAATCTAGAAATTTCACGAAAATAGACATCTGAAAAAGGCAGCACTTTCTGATTATCAGGACTATAAAGTGGGTGAGTGTGCTTCTAAAGCAAAAAAACCCCTACAAACTAAGCCTTAAGGCGAAGTAAAAAAAAAAACATGTTTAGCGTCCCCGCCCGCTTCCTTTTTAGAGGCAAAGTCGACACGTTTTTGTACATGTGGATGTGTGGCCTATGTTTACGGAGGCAGTCCAGTAAATAGGCCACATTTATGGGGCTACCTCCATGCTAGGCCTACACATTTCGCGCAATTATGTTCACCTGGCCATAAAAAGCAAATATTCTTTATACTTTTGAGTTCACATACATCCAATTACTTAACGTTAAATGTTCAACTGATCTGCAAAAGATAACAAATTTCATAACTAATTCTTGGCATCTTGTATTAACCCACACTTACTGTAGTCTCAGTTGACACTGCACTGCAGCACATACATGCTCTTGCATGATCCGGTCTCCGCCCTTACGCTGGTAGAGCTCCATGGTAGTAGTAGTAACTGCGCGCGGCGCAAGCCAGACTTGTATATTTATCTACACAACAGAGGGCGCTAATCCCATTCGACAGCGATTTTCTCGTGGGCGGTACTCCATACGTCACCGCTCATGTGCGCGGAGTGATCGAGTGTGTAAATATAAATGCTAGGCTTTACAAATCCTGCCTTCACTTTGTCGTCGTTTTTTTTTTCGCTGCAACATTGATGTCATTGTTTTGTATTAACATTTGATGCAGCTTTCTTTATAATATATTTTAATACTAATTTCACTAACATCCTCTTATTTTCAAAACGTATAAACCTACAAATATTTAAGACCTACAAATATTTAAATGTCATGTGACGTCCCTTAAATAAGGGGCATTTTATTTATGTGTACAGAACTATTATGTTCGATTTGCCGTAACTTGACATGTACGTATAATGTGCTGCTATTACATAGTGACATCACTAATTGCCTATCACGTGCACAGAGTATTTCAAATATCAGCTTGTTTGTCCACAAACACATTTCTATTTTTTGATTTCTCCTTTTTAAAGATATTTTTGTATTTTTCTTTGGAGTAAATGCAAAATCTTCATAAAATATGAATTATTATGCCGTCAAAATTGAAGACGAGGGGTCATATACAAAACTCTTACAAAATGATTTATTCATAACTAGTCAGCAAAACAAAATGCAATTCCACCCCCCCCCCGCAAAAAGAATGGAGCTGGTTTCTATAATTTCATCTGTGTCCTAAAAACATATGAACAAACACATTTCATTTTCAAACAGACAATTGTTATCATTTGATTTCAACCAACATTTAAATGCTTTATTACCAAACGTACGTAATTAGACCTCCACTGTTACACAGTTTAACAACATTAAAAGGATTAAAGGCCTTTTTCACCAAGGTCGTCTTTTTTTCCTTTCAAAAGTGGGAAACACACCAAAAACAATACAATTACAAATGTCTCTTGCACTTTCATGTACAGTTGCTTTTTTGGCTTAAATTTCCACTGTTTCGTCAACAAAAGACAGGTCCGTTAATAATACGCCAGTTTGGTGTTTTAACTGAGCATTTACACAACATGGGTCACACATAATTGTACGCTCATTAACAAGCACAAAAGGCATTACCGTGACATTTCCAAACATCACGTCACAGATTTTACCCCAAACGACCTTTGACCGAGACTATTTTGTTTTCCTGAGGCTTACTAACACCCTAGCATTGTGCGCTCATCTCCCTGTGACTTCATCCACTTTCAATGAGCATCCAATAAGCCTCTGTACTAATAATATCACACTTTCTTAACGTGTGTGCTTTCTTTTGGTGCTCAGTGGGCCCCCACTGGCTCCATAGTGCACACATGTAAAAAAAGATGTAATTGGTACAGAACCTTAATTACTCAATCCCAAATGCCACATGACCCATCATGTATAATCTGTACATATTTGGAAATTTCTTTTCCATCAATGTCAATGCCTCCTTACATGTCCCTCTCAATGCTTCCTTGTCCATGTCAAAGCTTTCTTGACCATGTGAAAGCTTTCTTGTCCATGTGAATGCCTCGATCCTTACATGTCCCAGTGAATGCTTTCTTGTCCATGTGAATGCCTCCTTACACGTGTTGTTCCTGTCAATGCTTCCTTGTCCATGTGAAAGCTTTCTTGTCCATGTGAATGCCTCCTTACATGTCCTTGTGAATGCTTCCTTGTCCATGTGAAAGCTTTCTTGTCCATGTGAATGCCTCCTTACATGTCCTTGTGAATGCTTCCTTGTCCATGTGAAAGCTTTCTTGTCCTTGTGAATGCTTCCTTGTCCATGTGAAAGCTTTCTTGTCCATGTGAATGCCTCCTTACATGTCCTTGTGAATGCTTCCTTGTCCATGTGAAAGTTTTCTTGTCCATGTGAGTGCCTCCTTACATGTGTTGTTCCTGTCAATGCTTCCTTGTCCATGTGAAAGCTTTCTTGTCCTTGTGAATGCTTCCTTGTCCATGTGAAAGTTTTCTTGTCCATGTGAATGCCTCCTTACATGTCCTTGTGAATGCTTCCTAGTCCATGTGAAAGTTTTCTTGTCCATGTGAATGCCTCCTCGGTGTTACTATATACCGGAAAACACCGGAAAATATCGGAAAATACCGGAAAACTACCGGAGAATACCGGAAAACACCGGAAAACTACCAGAAAACTACCGGAAAACTACCGGAAAACACACTAAATACCGGAAAACACCGGTAGGGACACTTAGTATAACAGCAATCTTGTTTCTACCTGAAAAGAAATCTTACTTTTCTATGGTCAGTATAAACTGAATATCACATAATTCAACTGTTGCACTTCCACTGTAAAAATAAATGAATTCACAAAGAGTGCCTCCATCTGAATGCACATTTCTTCCTTATTTCTTAGAAAAAAATATAATTCTCTCTGCACAACAACAAACTTTCCCGTTCCATGCCAAGTGTAAACCGAATGCAAATTGATTCAGCTGCTTGCCCCCCCCCCCTCAAAAAAGGACCTCGTACATTCTTTTATTTTATTTTTTTACCCAAAAAACAATACTTCCTTATCTCTTTCAGTGATTCCTTGTTCCTGTAAATGCTTGTTTGGCTCTGTTAATGCTTACATTTTATTTGTTTATTTGAAAGGATATAAATTATCACAAAATCAAAAACTTCCTTTCGCGTACATTTCATTAAACTTTTTTTTTTTTTACCAAAAAAAAAATGCATCCTTGCTTGGTGAAAGCTCCCTGTCTCTGTACACATTCTTTGGGTATGTGTTTCTTTTTTTTTAGCCGTATGGTCACTTACTATAGAACATTGCTTTCCTGTGCAAAGTGTGAACTGTATCCACAATGACTCAGCTACTTGGACTTCCACACACAAAAAATGTGTAATTGCAAAACACAAACTACCTTTGACACATTCTTACCCCTATGAAGGGTTCTTTGTCCCTGTGCTTCCTTGTCAGTGACCTGTCAATGTTCTCACATTTTTTCTTTGATATTTTTTTATTTGATTTTTTCTCTCATCCAAAACTAAAACACACCCCAAAAACAAAACAAAAATTGAAATATAAAAGTGTCTCTTAGGCCAAAAAAAGTCTCCGGTTTCTGGTATGGAGCTTGTCCAAAAAGTGGTGCGGCGACGCGGCTTTTTTTTTTAACCAGACTTTTTTGCTTCAAATGTGCTTCAAATGTCGGCTGATGACTGCAAATGGTGCCCGACTAAACTTAGTGCAAATATATGGGAGTCCAGAGAGGCCACATAAAGCTTATTTTCGATCATAACCCCATCTAAAAACACGTTGAAATTGCGCAGCAGCAGAATTCCAGTCAAACCAGTGAGTTTGGCGGTTTTGAGACATCATCTTTCATTGAAAAAAAAACTTTTTCATTTTGCCGACGCGCATGGCTACGGCAACGCGCGCGCATACCAGAAACTGCAGACTTTTTTTTTTGGCCTTACAGGAATGTTTCTTTTTCAAAGCTGTAGGGACACTTAGTATAACAGCAATCTTTGTTTTCTACCTGAAAACAAATCTTGCTTTTCTATGGTCAGTATAAACTAAATATCACATAATTCAACTGTTGCACTTCCACTGTAAAAATAAATGAATTCACAAAGAGTGCCTCTATCTGAATGCACATTTCTTTCTTATTTCTTAGAAAAAAAAATATAATTCTCTCTGCACAACAACAAACTTTCTCGTTCCATGCCAAGTGTAAACTGAATGCAAATTGATTCAGCTGCTTGCTCCTCCCCCCCCCCCCAAAAAAAGGACTTCGTACATTCTTTTATTTTGTTTTTTTACCCAAAAAACAATACTTCCTTATCTTTTTCAGTGATTCCTTGTTCCTGTAAATGCTTGTTTGGCTCTGTTAATGCTTACATTTTATTTGTTTATTTGAAAGGATATAAATTATCACAAAATCAAAAACTTCCTTTCGCGTACATTTCATTAAACGTTTTTTTTTTTTTACCAAAAACAAACATGCATCCTTGCTTGGTGAAAGCTCCCTGTCTCTGTACACATTCTTTGGGTATGCATTTCTTTTTTTCCAGCCTTATGGTCACTTACTATAGAACATTGCTTTCCTGTGCAAAGTGTAAACTGTATCCACAATGACTCAGCTACTTGGACTTCCACACACAAAAAATGTGTAATTGCAAAACACAAACTACCTTTGACACATTCTTACCCCTATGAAGGGTTCTTTGTCCCTGTGCTTCCTTGTCAGTGACCTGTCAATGTTCTCACATTTTTTCTTTGATATTTTTTGATTTGATTTTTTCTCTCATCCAAAATAAAAACACACCCCAAAAATAAAAAAAAATGAAATATACAAATGTCTCTTACAGGAATGTTTCTTTTTCAAAGCTGTACGGACACTTAGTTTAACAGCAAGCTTTGTTTTCTACCTGAAAACAAATCTTGCTTTTCTATGGTCAGTATAAACTGTTGCACTTCCACTGTAAAAATAATGCAATCACAACACAACATAAAAATGTTCCTGGGTCTTCTTATATACACTTTGACATTTCTGGTCCACATCAATATAGCTTCCTTGTCTCGGGGGCTGGTTACTCGTCATCCAGTTCGCTGAAACACACACACAAAAAAAAATATGGTGTTTACTATGTTCACCAATGCCCAACAAACCACTGATATGACTTCTCCCATGCATATGGCACCACCCTTTTAGTATCAAGTTTCCTATGCTTTCAGAGATCCGGCACCACAACCAACACACATACCAAGTTCATATGTCAAGGCTTTCTCAAGTTATATGGTCCAACAACTATGATAGCTACCACACATCACGTTTGAATATTCTGTAATTTCCCAAATTGCTATATCGTTATTCTTTTGTCCACGATTACTAGAGAAGTCCACAAATGTTACATTCACATGTAAACTATTTGTAAAGTTATCGTGCTATACACACAATTATATAAAGTCACTGTGACCTATGACCTTTTCGACCCAAAAGCAATTAAAAGGCTTCTTAGGATTATGTCCGACAGCAATCCACACACCAAGCTTACAGTTTGTATCATATGTCACGTCTGTCTCAAGTTATTACACTGACAAGATTTCTAATGTTCGTGCCACTTTAACATTGTTACCATTAAGTTTCACGGCCAATGCAATCAGCTTGTTTGCAATACCATAGCCTTGGTCCAGGCGCTAGTTGTTATTCATCCGGCCATATCGCGATAAACGATATCTTCGCTAGCGCTATGCATGCAGTCATATCTCTTATGCATGCAGTGCATTAAAAATACAGCGCGAACAGGGACCTCACACGGCCACTATTTTTATGCAAATCAGTTGGACCCAATCTAGCGCCTTGGTTCAATCATCAATGTGAGGTTTTGGGGGTGGTGCTCATAATGTTAACAGCCTTAGCTAACCTTAAATGTCATTTTCTTATTGGTCGATCATTGCGTGGATACTTGCAAAGTGAATCGTGGCACCGTACATAATCCATACACATGTACACGTTGTGTGTCTCTGCACACGGCACCAATGCACAAAACTGTGGTTCCTGTCACGTCCGCAAAAGGAAAATAGCTGCAAATAATTTGATGACGTCTGGATTTACCAAGGTGTGATTGGACACTCCACATATTAGCCCCGCCTACACTTATCTGTATTCACATACGAGGTCGTACACTAGAAATCCAGCACAAAATAAAGAAAAACATAAGCTTTTGCCGACGATTTAACCAAGGCGCTAGATTGGGTCCAACTGATGTGCATAGAAATGGTGGCCGCGTGAGGTCGCCGATCGCGCTGTATTTTTAACAAGCTGGTTTACCCGATCATAGATCGGGTAGGGCGTAGTGTTGGGGATGAATATGTGGGGAGTTAAATGTAAATGGGGGATATAGTTGGTGAGACATGCAGTTAAAGAATAGCAATTTCTGTGGTGTGATCTGAGGCAATTTCTGATCACTAAAACCAATTTGAGCAAAAGATCATCTGTGAAAGTTTTGAGTTTTGAGTAATTGAATCAGCTACATGTATTCTGAGCAATAGAATCATTATTGTAGGCTACAATATTTTTATTCGGGGAAGAAAAAGTGTGTGGGTGGGGGGGGGGGAGACCAAACAATGTCCCCCCTCAAAATGTGTGTGTGTGTGGGGGGGGGGGGGTCCCTGTCCCCCGTCGATTTACGCACATGATAATTATGTACCATGGCAACTGTCTGTAAATGTTGCCGTTGGTCTGTTAAATTGGCTTTTTGTGAGGCAGTCGCATTTGGAAAACGTAGTGAAAAGGTTACTGTAGTACACAGGCAAAGGCTGGTTGTACAGTTTGACAATAAATCATAATGCAATAAAATGTGAAGGTGTCATTTAAAATGAAAATGTTGAGTGTTACCCAAAAATTACAAACGGTCTGAATCATGGAGGAAGGTCATAATTAAGTTTAAGTATTGGACTCTTCAACAAACGTAAACTTGAACTTCTTACAATTTGCGAGACCGTCTGCGATTCAACTTTTATTCAAGTTGGTTCAACCATCTATATATAAGAGCAAGTTTTACTCGGCCTCCGAGAAATGTTTGCTTCTGAAAGGATCCGAGACCGCGGCGATCCTTCGTTGACCCAAAACAGGCCCCCAAAATTATAACACGACACTGAATTATGCCATGGAGGAATTCTTATTCCTCCATGATTATACGTGGCGGGCAGCGAACTCACAACGCAACGCTCAGCCTTGGTGGTGGAAGCATGGAGCTAGCTGTAAACACATTATGGAAGCAACAGCACTCTATCACGTCACATGCTTGCGCTTCAAATAGCGAGCACCGTAGACCCAACCTCGTTTCCTGGGTGTGGAGCAGGCTGCAGTACGCGTTGCCATCGACAGTTTTGCATAGCCCGGAAATACTACGCAGTGTAGACTTTCGATTGGTCAGACCGCGCAAGGCATACTTAATGTGTAGTCCTTCTGAGTATTCGTTGCACTCGGCGCAGGGGCGGCAAGCGAAGCATATGAAAGAATAGGGGCACTTGGTGGCCACGCACCATGGAGAAAAAATATTTTACCAAGGTCACCCCATCCACAATTTGGTGAACGCTTTTGCAGAACGGCCGAGTAGAACACGTAAACGGAACCCCTACGTCGAAGCCGCTGACCTCGCACAGTCTAGACACGCAGAAAAGCCAGGACAGTGGGCGGCCAGGCAGTCAACGTGAAATCACACACGACGGCAAATTCCTGCGCAAAATGCAGTCACGAAAAATAGACGAAAAGGATCGCCGGTCCGTACGGGAAAATCAGGACGACCCGACGTGTCCGACCCACCGGAAGACACCCTCCGCATTTTTCCACGGACGTGGAGCGATTTTGGCGCCGCGGGAGCCCGCGGTCTCGGATCCTTTCATGAGCAAACATCGTCTTGGAGGCCGAGTTAAACTCTCTCTTATATATATAGATGCGCCGCATGCATAGCGCTAGCGAGGATATCGTTTACCGCGCTACGGCCGGGATGAACAACTAAGGCCTTGACCAAGGCTAGCAATACCAAGACAAATCCATGAATCCAAAAATCAAATAACAAGTTCAAATGTTAACAATTTTCAACTTATTGCACTTACGATATTTTTCCATACACACAAACAACCATACATATCAGTCATGCACTACCACTGTTGTCCACTCAACCGAGTCCTGATTTTGTTCTCCTTTCTTCCTCTTGAAATCTCATATAACTAAGGGTACAAATGCCACTTGAGATGAAACCGAAGGTGCCATTTGCCCCAGACAGTGCCAGAAACCTATGGACCAAAGCATGTACGTCATGTATGTTGTACAAAACAAATAATTAATGTCTCACTTGTTACACACAGTTCAAACAATACATTCACAACATATCCAATATTCCATTCCACTCAGCATCTCCTTGTCAAATGAAAATCCATTCTATCTGTAACCTCAACTACCATTCATTTTATGTCTAATAAACAATAGACTTACCATGATTCAACCTTGTTGATGTTCAAAGTTGCAAATTCATAGTGTACTATCACAGAAACCGGCAGCAGGTGCTGCAGTTCGTCCAAATCAGCTATACCCAGCGCTGTTAGCAGTTTTTCGGGCTCTACGTGAAAGGCCATCTTTTGGTTTGTCAGCAATTCCAGGACACCACTGGTGAGAAAAACAAGACATTTTATCATTAAATCATGGCATTATATTGGATCATCACAGTTTATCATTAAATCATCACATGTGCTTTCAAATTTCATTACTGTGATAAGTGTGATAAGTTTTTTTCACTAACACACGATGTATTTTAAACCACTCTGTCACTGTGCATATAGTCCACATTTGGCTTAAATCACTGACAAAATCTGGCTGACAAAAGAAAATAACCACTTCATGATAATTACCTGAAAATCACTAAAAGGCTGTATGTGTACGTGTATGGATAAAATTTACAAAGATATTGTTCAAACAATGCCAACAATGTTGTGTAAAAAAAAAAATATGATCCCTAATGACCATTACATTACCATCGACCAATTTTTCTGTACGCCCTATATAGGCTTGCACCACAGAGGTAACCACTCAGTTTGACCTTCATTCTCGCCATTACAAATAATGCAGTGCACAACCAAGATTTTGCCCAAAACAATCCATTTTTCAAGTTAATGTGGACAGTCAGGACTACTTCAGCTATACAATGGGGCATAGTATTTTACCACCTTACAAGACACACCATATTGATCAATTGACAAGAAAACAGCAAACACATACTTGAAATGACACATGAAACAATCTTTCCTAAACCACACAAATTACTATCACAACACTTGCAATAATTCTTCACTTACTTTTCTTCTTCTGCAAATGCCCGGATGACAATTGTGCAGGCACCTGGTGCTTTCTCATACTATTAACAACACAGACAATAAAAACAATTCATCATACAAATGATCACAAACATTTTTTTCTCAAACTTTAACAGTTTAAGATCTAGTGCTGCATCAAACCATGATCAAGCAACAGAGGATGTGGAAGAGAGGCAGGGAGCTAATGGTCGTGTTCAGGCTATTTGCTGCGGTACATCTTTTTATACTACAAACAGGAACTTTGCAGACATCTCTTTTAAGACATTTCAAGCAATTCAGAACAACTGCTAGCTCACCAGCTTATTTTCCCCTTTACAATTGCCATTAATTTGTACCTCTGTCAATGACAATGTGTCGTGAGCAATCATACACCATACATGTACATGTACAAAAAATTTAGTTCAAAATCTCAATATTTGCACTAAAGACTTCTGTAACCTATAGCCTCACATTGTTACAATTGCCACATTAAAATGATTGCAACATATGCAATCTGTACCAGTATCAATGGGCACCCTATCTATGAAACCACTTCCACAAGCTTTGACAAATCCAGTCTAATACATTCTAGATGACCAGCTTGTACACGAGCTATTGAGGCACAGGGATGAGGTTTCTCTTGCAGTGCTAGTTTTTCATTTTGTCTGGGTTTTCTTATGTTTGTTTTAAAGGGAAAATACAACATTTGCAAACATCAAAAAAAAAAACCACATCATTGCCACCCTTTATTTCGACCCAAATATACCTAATTTGTATCAATTGTTAATTCCTGTCGTGTTACATATTTATTGCCATAGTTGGGTAGATTCTTTATTTTTTGAAAATTTGATTTTGGTGACTTTACTTAAACATCCTTACTTCAATAACATTTTCATAAGCATATTTAAGTGGCTGAGCATCCAAAATGGCAACTATTTTACCCTAGAAATGCACACCTTCTTGTCTCCACAAATCTTCTAGTAGGCCCACTCTTGCCAAAACTCGGTATTAACGAGCTTCAAATTCACCAAGTTGCTTGCTGGCACAATTACCCTTTTAAAACCTTATAGACAATCATGTGAACAATGATGACAGTTATGATATTTAACCCAGCAAACAAAAACAGGCAAAAGCTAGCCCGCTATTCATAAACTGCAATTGAAATTGGGCAAAGGGTCACCTAACGCTTGGAACCCCCCCCCCCCCCCCCCTCCCAAAAAAAGCTTGCAATAATTATTTCAATAGGCCTAACTATTTGTTTCTTTCTCTTCATTTTCTTCCTATTAATAGTGGGAATTCCCTTGAACCGTTTCCCACATTAGGCAACCTCACCAATTAGGCCAATTAACAGACATATCTCATGTTTGCCTATTTTGTTCGTTGGGCTAAATATCACGACATTATCACTGTTCAAGTTTAAATAGGGTAACTATGCCAGTACAAAGCAACTTCGTGAATTTCAATCTCATCAATACTGAGGGTTGGCAAGACTTAGGGGCCATTCAGAATTTTCAATGTTTTAAAATTTCGAATTTTTTTCCAAATTATTTTGACCCACCCACCCACCCCTAATTTCGATTAGTAAAAAACTGAACATGTACATGTACATGCACTTGCATACGTGTGTACATATACTTGAACATGTACATGTATACCCATGTACATGTACATGTACATGTGTACCCATGTTCATGTGTGTCTAGTTCAGTGACGGCGTGAAGTTGTCGGTCTTCCTCTTTTGCAGTGGTGGCCTTCAGTTTTCTTGTGTTTTACCAGCTGATATGCTGTTTGGAAGGACAGGTTGCAGTCTTGGAAGCCACAGAGATGACCGTGGTTTGTCATTTTCTGGATTAGCCCCATAAATGTGGCCAATTTACTGGACTGCCTCCGCAAATAAAGGTTACACTGCCACCATATACAAAAACATGTCGAACTTTGTCAACTTTTGATTTTCACATTTAGGCTTAGTTTGTAGTTTATTTTTGCTTTAGAAGCATACTCACCCTCTTTATAGGCTAATCAGAAAGTGCTGCTTTTTCAGGTGTCTATTTTTCGTGAAATTTCCAGATTCGTTTGCACACGTTTGCGTATCAAAATTTCAACATGAAATTTGACGAAAAATAGACATCTGAAAAGGCAGCACTTTCTAATTACCCTATAAAGGGGGTGAGTATGAATTTAAAGCAAAAATGAACTACAAACTAAGCCTAAATGTGAAAATCAAAAGTTGACAAAGTTCGACATGTTTTTGTATATGGTGGCAGTGTGGCCTTTATTTACGGAGGCAGTGCAGTAAATTGGCCACATTTATGGGGCTATTTCTGGATGAGGTGGATGACATGCGACATAGGAGGTTGTGCCTGTCACGTGAGGTAGCTGAGAAAAACATTCCCTCGTACCCCCTGCCCTGTTTGCAGGGCGGGGGTACGAGCGAAAGAAAAACATCAGGTTTGGGCAGGCATCACATCACAGGCTGCGGTCCTCGTAGTCTTGGAGTCCAGTGGTTGAACAGTCCAGTTTTTATAGCGATTGGTGATCGACACCCGCGGCGTGTTATAGAGCCGATCTAGCACACCTGGTACCCTGCTGCCCCTGCACGGCCTAACCGCTAGAAACGCCCGGCATCCAAGTCTACTGAAAAACCACCTCCCTCTCATGCCACAGTGGGTCTATATACATGTACATGACGTACATGTACAGTACATACAGGGGACCAAGTTGGAAAAGAAACACGCATCGCGATATCGGAACGCTTGCGCGTTGTTCAGGCAAGTCAAAAGATCTATCTTTCTTTTCTTTTTTTTTATCCTTTTTCCATGGAAAGTGAATTTCGATTTTTAATTATTTAGCTTGACCCACCCACCCACAATTTGGAAAAAAGATCGAAATTTTAAAACATTGAAAATTCTGAATGGCCCCTTACTTGGAAATATCTGGAAACAAGATTAAAAGCACACAATTTTGGGATATAATACTAGCCATTTTGGATCGTTAACAGGTCCTAACAATTATACAGTCACTTATATCCGGTAGAAAATGTTATTGAAATAAGGATGTGTAAACACCACAATAAAATCATCAAACAACAACAATTACAAATATATACCCAACTATGGTAACACATCATATAACACAGAAGTGATTTACAACTTTTACAAATTAAGTATATTTGGATAACAAGTAAGGGCGGCATCCAGCCACATCTTTTTTATGATTCAAAGAATTGATCTAGCATGGATGCCAGATATTACCAAAAAGTGCCAGAAATATTTTTCTAGAGACTTTTCCACATTTGGCTGGCCTGCTTAAACACATTCCTATAACACTAACCTTTACTTCAGTGTGCTGCGTACTATTAAACGACAAAGCGTGCTTGAACTCTTTGACGTAGATGTTTTTGATAGTCACGATCTCATTCTCCCGTATGGCCACATCAGCACCACCTTTGTTTTTCCACAAGTTGATTTTGATTTTGCTTTGACGGTCGCTCGTATCCAACAACTCCAGTTCACGTCGAGATGACTTATCTGAGATTTTCACAGGTGACACCTTTCACAACAAAACAATACACACACACACAAAAACATTTCATTAAATAACCAGCAAAGTGCAATGCCATAAACATTTCTTTATTCCACAAACTCTCACAAACTATAAGGCCTAACATGTTCAATATTTCATGGAAAAACCCCTAATACTTTCAAATGATACGTACATGTGTGTCCATGTACATGTACCTCTGCTTAAGTTCCCACCAAATAGCCAATAACATTCCAAACACTGTCTATGCATGTACATGTACACAATACTTTAATTAAAGTACTATTAATAGTACATGTGGGGCTTTTAACATGCGTTGTAATATTATTATTTTTATGTTGCACAAATTCATGCCAAAACACCTGCATCTACATGTAATCTCCACATCTGTAAGTAAACCCTTTCAAAATATGCACTTCCCAATTCCATAGCCTTTGCATACTGCCAACTAAGTAACGAAACAACACGTCTCTCCTACAATTTGCTTAAGAACAGGCATCCTAAACCATGACACATTTTTTAGCCACTACACTCAGGAGGTTACACACTGACTATATACAGTGTTTAAACGTTGGTGAAGGGCAAAACCTAATAAAGTTACATCACCCCAAAGCAAAATTCCATCTTGCGAATAATTAATACAGTACCCGCTGCTATGTACATCAAATTCGAACCAGCCAACCAATCTTGTTAGCTCAGTGATAGAGTGGTAAGACATCTGCACTAGAAAGCAGGAGGTTGTGGGGTTGAGTCCCTTCCGAGGGATTTTTCTCCAACTTTCACTTGGGAGGTTACACACTGAGTATAGGCCCTACAGTATTTATACGTCGGTGAAGGGCAAAACCTAATTTGCCAAAAGCAAAACTATTAATTTAACAGCACTTAACCTAAGTGAAAATACACACAGTACATACATGTACATGTACATGTACATATGTATACACAGGGACAAAACGAAGACACTATGACAATATCACCCTTTTGGCTTAAACACTAAGGAGATAACAACTCATTTGTTCAATGTATACTTACATTTGTAACTGTCCCCTTCACCGAAAAACGTTGATACTTTTCCATTTTGGCAGCATCCCCTAGACTCACTACTGGTGCATCATAATATCCTTTCAGTGCATCTTCAGACGGAGAAAACTCTGACCCTCTGTATAACTACAAGAAAAGTGCAACAAAGTTTGATCAATTTCATGATGACAATATCTCCACACAACAAATACAACATTTCACTTTCAAAAATACACTCTCCATCCTCTCAGAATTAACTGACTCATCCACTTACAAAATCTAAAAAAAAAAATCCCTCCAAATTCTTACATTAAATGGACCAACCAGATTTTATCATTCTCCTTGAACATTCTACTTGAATATTAAAAAGGCCAGGTATAAATGACAAAGCAACTAGAAATCGCATAATACTAAGTGACTTCTTTAATTACAACTACAAGTTAACAAAATAATTTTTCCTTCTCCCTTTGTTACGGGTAAATAAATTCGCGATTTATGATCAGGAGTGTTTAGAACTTGATGAAATTTAACTTTCTGTGAAATTTCAGTTAAATTTTTTGCTCTATGTAGGTGCTACAGGCGAAAAATCAATATGCGGCACGTTAGGGGCCGCGCATAGGCCTACTGTAGTAGGCCTAGGCCTTCTAACAGTAACAACATGAACAAAATTGTAAATGTTTTTTCAGTCCCAGATTCATTTTTATCATTACTTCTGCAACAAGTGACTTTTATTGAAAATGATATATGATTATCAGATTATAATGACAAAACTGGCAGCTTAAAGATAAGGATGTATTATTTAATACCAAACTCAGAATGATTTTTTGTTGTACTTACACGAGACTTAGAAGTAGGGCGAATGATGTTCTGACCTTGGTCGGTCCGGTATCTGCTGCAGTACGTCCCTTCTATGAAAGCCCCTGCTCGTAAGCGACCGAGGTGCCTCTCATCGTAAGTGTACACCTGAAACACGCTTCCGTCCTCCGTTAAAACATCTGTTACAATACTATTGCCTCTTTCTTCCGGCTCAGACAATACCTTAAATCGTACTTCTAAGGACATAGTCAACCTAGGAATTACGACAAAACTTTAGGACAAACAACAGTAGAATCTCACGCGTACGATAAGGTCACTCTTTGCGTCACGTGCAGCGGTACGGTTCGCATTGTGCACACGGTGACCGTAACGAAATGGAAAAATTCTGCCAAATTGCGCTTAAAAAATCTGCTAGATTCAACAAAAATCTGCTAAATCTCCTATAATTACACAAAATACCAGTGATGTAGTGTCTTGATGCTGGGCCTTGGCCTTAAGGCTGCCTTAAGGCTGGATTTTAGGGCCTTGGCCTCGAGGCTTGAGGGCAAAAGCCTTGGCCTTGGCCTTGAGGGACCACGGCCTTGCAATGTTGAGTCAAGGCTCTTCAAGGCCCATAGATTTTTGCATTTTCCAGACAAATCTGTTCGAAATTTTGCTGTTACCATTTTAATCGAAATTACCATGGAGGAGGGAAACCCCTTGTACTTCCACTTATCACATGTATACCATTAAAGATTTGCTGCAAAAATATTCCGTACACTAATGAGATGATCACTTAAATTGCATACAATTATGAAATAGATCTGATTGGTTGTATGTCTCCCTGATAAGTGCTAAAGATTTGCATGTATCTGTTTTAGATAGTGCTGATATTTCTGATCATGTTGGGCCAGAAAATAAAAATTTCCCAAATCAGTTTCTTGGATCCCCCTTTTGTTACACTCGGGAGAATTGTGCGTCAATATAGAAGTAAATCTTTATTTTGTTTTAGTAAAACCAATTAATTGAAGACCTGAACTCATACTTTAATAGATCTAATGCAGTCCTAAAACAGTGTATGCGAGCATGTTGATTGCAATTTAAGGCATGTTGTTCTTTATGAGCGATTCGTGATGATGTGTCATGTGACTATAATTAGTTCTATATCAGTGGTCAATTTATAAAACAGGGCCTTGGCCTTGGCCATAGCCTTGAGGATTAAGCCTTGGCCTTGGCCTCGAGGCTTGAAGGTCCAAGCCTTGGCCTTAAGGGTCAAGGCCTTGGCCTTGAAGGTTTAAGCCTTTCCTCCAACACTGCAAAATACATTATAAACACCTATACAAAAGAAAAATCATAAATATACTTAAAAAAAAACAATTAAAACTAACAAAAAGAATTTTCAATTTAAATGGTATTTCTAGCTGTACTTCTGTAAATTTGTATCATTGGGCCGTCATGTTGTCACTGTCATACTGTGATGCATTAATGTATTTCGAGGACTGTCCATCCCCAGCCTGTGCGTCCGTTTGTCTCATTCTTATTGTCTGTCTTTACTTTTTTTTCGCTGTCTTTTATCAACCACACTATGTCTTGTCTATGGATATTCATCACTCCGTAAAGTGGTGTGTGTTTCTCACTGTTTGTGTCAGTCTTTTAGTCTATTTGTCATGGTCGTATCTGTCCAGGCTGTTTTAACCTCAGTACCTGTTTCAGACAATTTATTTCATGCTCATTGCTCACACTGTTATTTTCAAGGCTTTTCTTTGTATACTTTTTTTTTATTGTTTTTAAATGTTTAACTGGTTCATTATTATTTCTGTGAGGCGCCTTCAGCGTCAATTTTGACAGACATCTGCTCAAAATAAAATCATTCTGCCAAATTTTCTGTCAAACTTCGTTTTTTTTTCTTTCAAAAATGCAGTTAGATTCAGCCTAAATTCGGCTAAAACGGTCACCCTGATAATGTGCGTTCCCCGCGTTTCTTTGTAACCTAGTAATCTGCAGCCTCGGTTTCATGCGCGCGTACTTTGCCCGCGAATTTTTTTCCCCAAACGAGATCAGCGGACCGGCTAGTCTATGTAATAGACGCTCCGTAGAACGGGTGATACTCAGACTACGGAACCGGCCGCCCATAGGAAGATTCTATAAAATATAGAGAGAGGGCGCTCTCACTGTGTTATGCATATTCCTGCTCCCCGGGGCTTTAGAGAACAACGAATAATAATGTTTATCACCGATGATCCATTTGGCGGCTGATATGTGGACTGGTTGAAAGTTCTCCTCACTTACTGATCCGAGTTCGAATCTCAGTCACCAGTTTTTTCTCATTTTACCCTTTCAATAACCAAAAGAATGAAGCAATATTTCTCACAAAACGTAATAGTCTGGGCAATATTTAAAAAGTAGATATTTGTTTTTAGTAGAATTTTAACTTTTCTTAAGCATACAAGTCACTGATTCATTATGAGGATGTATAGTAACAATCCTAAATGGCTCCTGTTACCCTAAAATTGCGCGCATTTAACGTGTCTTCAGATATATCAAGTATAATCTCGCCAAACGTCAATATTGATGAGCTTCAAATTCACAAAGTGAAATCGTAATATATTAAGCATGCACAATTGAATCATTGATATTTGCTGCAATAGCCTAGTTCTTGAGGAGTAAGGCAAATATGCTACACATCATTGTCTATCCACAACTTTTAATATTATATCTCAGGTTTTGGCTCCACAACGGGACTGGGTCTTAGCTAGTTGTTGAGTATATTTCCAGCCGGTTCATTGGTTACCATCCTGTCGATTCCATTGAAGCCCGTCAGCTGTAGTACAAACATTTATTTCAATGTTGCCATTTCCACACAATAAAATGTTACAATGCCGTGTAAACATATTATACAGAGCAAAATGGAATGAATTATATAATTGTGTATAATAATGTAAATGGATCAATACTAAAACAATTTTATGACAACATTTAGGTGTAAGAATCCCAGGACATACCGTTATTTCGCTTTACCGTTTTGGATTTCCTTCAAAACAAAAGCAGTAAACGAACCATCGACCGTTTTGTCGTTTTACAGTTTTATAAAACGACAAGCGGTATTAAGATAAATATGGTTTATCCGTTCATTAGTTAAGTAATATTCATTATAGCATAACGATCAATGATTTCTGTTTTACAGTTTTACACAAATAACTTTCAAAAAAATAACGGTCAGTATGTAAATACAGACTGGTTTCTTTTTATTTCAGTGTCATGAGTCAGTGGTGCATTTTTGGCGATGGGCAAGGGGTGGAGGGGGACCATGCTTTACACCAAGAAGTGTTACCTCGGCATAATTAATGCATGGTGTGATTCCTGACGCGGACCCTGACCCCTTTTCTCTTGCAACCCCCTTGCGATTCAGTTGGTGAGGCTTAAAAAGAGTTGCAAGCAAAATTGGCGATGGAAAACTTCAAGGGAGGACATTATTTTTCACATTGGATACAGGATGGCAAGACGTTTGAAGAAGTTGCAGATATTTTGAGGAAATTGGAGTTCAAGTCTTCGCGGCTCTTCAATAGACAATTCGCAAATTCTCTCGTAAGAGCAAAATGTGAGAAGGGCCCAGGCACTGATTCGATCAAAACGTCAGGACACATTAACATATTCCAAGGTGTATTGCTTAATTGCCGAACCTAAATTAAAAAAAAAATGGTCGGCAAGACTATTGACCGTTTTGTCATTGTTATGATTTTGTAAAATAACACTCTAAAAATAAAGCAACGAACCGTTTAACGCTTTCTACAATTAAAAACAACAAAAAATATTTTCTGTGTGTGACTTAATACTATTTGACCGTTTTACACAATTGTCAAACGACCAAACGGTCAATGGTTCGTTTACTGTTTTTATTTTTCAGGAAATCCAAAACAGTAAAACGAACTAACTGTATGTCCCGGGATTTGTAAGGTGAAGCGTCACGCTTTTGTACCCTAACCTATCGACAGACAAGTAGACTTGGCCGAGAAAAACAGAGACAGTGACAAGGGACAAAATGGACAACATTGAGACACACAAAGACACAGCCTTGAAAAATACAAACTGGACCAATTGTGCAGACCCCAACGTCTGGATCCCAACTACAGTTTTCACGTGGATCACAGTTCTTCAACTGTACTGGTTACCCAGGAAACAGATATCTTATGATGAGTTTTTATCTCTGGCTATTAGTAGGCAAAGAGTCAGACTGATTTGAACCAAGGATCGTGGAACGGTACATGTGTATGTGTGTTATTCAACTCTCATTTACTCATTGTTCACTGTTGTTGAAGTTTTCAAGATTTCAGACTTTGTTCGCTAAATAATTGAAGGTGCACTCCAATTTTTAAGGATTTCAGAGAAAGCAGTAGTTGTCTTGGCTGTGTTTGTATATAGATTGCATAATTGCACACAAATGTCAAAAGTATCTGACGTAATGATGACATCACTAAAATGCATTTTAAAAACATAAGAGAAGCTCCCATCATCATGATATTGATGGGAAACTAGAAAATATGCACAATCCAAAGTGACAACATGACGTCATTAACTAATTCTTAACTATTTCATATCTGTTGTATTGGCTACTACCTCAATATTACTTTTCATGAACTTTGAACAAAATAATTATAATTTACATGATGGCGCATCACCAAATAAAGCACAAACTCGTACAAAAAAAATCATAAGGGGAAAAGCCCTATGTTCTGTTTTCAAACAGACATAGACCTCTAGTCTTCTTTCTTTCTCTTCCTCTTCTTCTTCCACTTCTTTTTGGCACAAAATCCCATAGACTTTGTACACGTTTTTTCTACACGCCACTTTTGGCCTTAAAACAATTTCGATTTCCTTCAAACCTAGCACATACTTAGAACATCACCTGCAGATGTGTGCCAAATCATTACGTCATGCTGACGTCATCACGCGATCTATTATAGAATTTTGAATATTTAATTTTTCCCATAGACTTTGTACACAGAAATTTTTAAAAAGTGTCGATTTTCAAAGGGCATTTTCGACTCTTTGCCAGTAATTAATTTACACCACTCTTTGTCCAAGCAAAGACCCTAATTCAAACAACATTGTGTAATGATGACGTCATGATGACGTCATCCGGTGGTTATTTATGGGCAATTAAATTGTGACACTTTTAATATTTAAAAAAGCATAAGAAATCAACCGTACGCGTCCGCAGCATTCTGTTGCCGGCAAGTGGTAGAATAGGTCAAGGTCTTTATTTCATTCAGTGTGCGTGCAATCACGTGACCCTTGCTTCCGGTCGAAAAAGGCCAAAACAGGAAGTGGCTTATTATTTAAAAGTGGTAATAGATATGAACTTTCTTTTAACGGTGTTAGTCTCTTGGCTGATAGTATTCTTCAAATCATCTACCAATGACGTCATGCAAACTTCGAGCGCCCTCTAGCGACAGGTTGAAAATTTTCAAAAATGTATTTTGAATAGATGTCTGTGGCGAAGTTTGTCGGAATCGCCTAAATATTGGTGTATATGATGACCTTGACCCACTTCAGACGTGTGCGAAGTTTTTGGCGTATGACGTCATCAGACCAGAAGTTATAATAAAAAGACTCTTTTTCATATAAAAATTCCTGAAAAATCAACCATGGCAGTTTTTATGTTAGTTTTTACTTTAATTGTCGATTGAAGGGTAGGTCTAAAACATTTCAAAACTTGGAGGCAATAAGCGAACTCGGACATGCCCTGCACACGCTTAAAACTTCAGGCTGACAATACGTCTACTCTAAAACATAAACAGAACGTCTATATGTACATACACGTACGTTACGCACATACATGCACATCGTATGTCAGTCAGCCCGCGGAGCACGTGTTGCCGAGGTCAAATCCTGTCCACAGTGACCGTTTTAGCCGATTTTCGGCTAACTTTGACAGATATTAACTTCATGCACGCGCATAGTCAGCGACGTATAATTGCTAAAAATATCATAATGCAGAAAAGCCCTATGTTACATATTTAAAGGTGCAGTTTTTCTGCAGTGGGATTTTCCACAAGTCTGTTCCTATACAACAGTGATATCTTACTGAGTAGTCCTGAACTTCGGCCAAGAATTACTTTGAGAAGGACAGAGAAATCGTATTTTTTTTTCGCGCTGTCATTTGATTCAAAATATTCCCAAGAGTCAAAATATCGAGTAATCTTTTATAAAAATGTTTCAGTTTAAAGGCAAATCACGTATTTAAAGGTGCAGTTTTTCTGCAGTGGGATTTTTTAGCCCATTGACTTTGTAGACGTTTTCAAGCCACCATTTTTATAACTTGGCGATCTGGAATCGCATCAAAGTTACAGCCAAGGAAGACCATATGGACTTTAAGCCATATCTCACGAACCCAATATGTTAAATTCAAAATTCTTTTTGTATTAGGTTTGTTAGGCAATAGGTATATGTACAAAATGTGGAAAAATGTCTGACGTCATGATGACGTCATCAAAAATGCGCTAAACCTTGAAACACATATAAGGGAATGTCTTATCGTCATGAAACTTTATGGGTGGGTAGATAACACTAGTATATAGATAACACTAGTACACACAATATTGAATGACGTCATGATGACGTCATTTGAAGTTTTTTTTTTCTAACCTTATGGTGAAATGATTGTGCTCACTAGCACTTTAACCGTTCATGCCTTTGTGAACAAATTTGATCATTACCCTCCCCCCCATTTATTTTCGGCGGTCAGTGACCGGAGACTCCCCGTCTACATTTCAGATTGTTTTCCGATGAAATCCTCCCCCCCCCCCCCCCCTGCAGAAATTCCTGGATCCGCCGCCGACATTTTTAAGGCTACGGTACAATTAGTTGGAAGTCCGACACTCATCTCATTAGAGGGAGACATCTCTCATGATAATAGTTCTGGTAGATCTTTATTAACAGCAAACGTCTTCTGACGGAAACTATTGAGAAGTGTTGTTTTTTTAATCATAAAAACGGCTTTATGATACGTTTCATGGTGGTGTCTAGCTCCGTCCAATTTTAGGTAATTAGTAATGTGAAATTATTTGCTAGTAAAAATAGGGTAAATTGTTTTTATAACTATTTTGTTATTGCCAATTTTGAATTTTGGCATCTTTATATGATGTTCAATATTTTATTATGAAAAGACACAGGAATACATATCTGTAACGATGGAAAGTAAACACCGCCCTCTATTGACAGAAGCAAGTTTATATTTGCCTGAAGAGAAAAAATACAGGTACCATATCGTACCTGTTTGACGTGGTCAGAAAACAACTTTCCAATTACGAGTTTGATACTAGACACAAGCATTGATGGTTTGAACCATGCTTTTCGAACTCCGCTTTATTAAGCTTTATTCTACGGAAGAATTGTGTAAGCCAATGGACAACGTGGATTGTGAATTAACTGTTGTATATAAATTACTTACTAAATGGTACATGTTGGCCCTCAATTCAGCTCGTCAATTCAAAGCAGGTTTTGCAGTCATCTATTAGGCATCTACCCAGAACTATCCAGAAAAAATAGCCTCTTCCTTTTTAAGGCACATATTGTTTAAGCTATATCTGGATATTAGTCGCCTTTTTTTAATAAAAAAAAAAAAACCCTCACCCTCTTTGAAAATACGCAGACGATCAAGTGTTTTATTTTTACTTGGCCTTGTGTGTGAAGTACTGCATGTGCAGTAGCTATCATGGTTAAGTGCATAACTGCATGTTGAGAAAGTGTTGCATTTTACAGGTTTTAATGAACATCATATTACCGAGTATTGTGTGAGTGGGTCAAGTTGCTGAAGTTAAACAGATTTTTACCACTGAAAGTTATACATATAGAGATGGTTTAAATGGAGGACACAACTGAAATGGCTAAATGAAAATAAAATACATGTAGTCATATCTGTAATGCATTTAAAATATCCTCATTCCAACAATCTGTACTTTAGGAACGCCTGTTTTTAATGGTCCATCTCATTTTTCTACTTGGCCATCAAATAAAAGTCTTTTACATTTACTGAGAGACCACAGGCTGAGAACTCGTACTGAATGAGGTGTTGCCCTTAACTGTCATTCATTACACATTTGACAAATATTTCGTCCAAGATTCAGTAAACCGATGTAGCTCACACACTGGTGTCATATATGTGGATCGAGGAATACAAGTTATGTCCAAAGTGCTGTAAATACAAGTAGTTTTCTAAACTTGACAGCTTGCAATCTGCACCATGGATGACTGTTACATCAGGGAAGGATATGTACAGTTGCCAACAGCGCAGAAGCAAACAGGCAAATAGAAGCAAATAGGCATCACATGTACTTGACTTGATCAACCATGCAGCCACTGTGGTTCCCTGTGAAGACACAAAGAAAAAGAGGTCCACTCTGATAGATAATGCTTCTTTTTAGATACATGTCCATGAGTATTTACAGAAATGAACAAAAAATATTGAACAGTTTGTATTTTTCTAAATATTACCCAATGTGACCAATTTCAAGAATTTAATAGAATTTGTATTGTTAGTCATGGTACAATATTTGTGTAGACAAATAAAGTAAACATACCTAATTGTCTGTATTTAAAATCTCCAATTTCAGTTATACATAGGCCTGACAAACAACTTGTTTATCATGTACTCAAAAAGATGTCCATTATCGATAAGGCATTAGGGCCACTAAAAAGGCAGTGAGGCTGCTATTATTGAGGAGGTGTAGTAAAACGAATACAGCATGGTTATTTCTGGAAAATAGTTGGAATTACTGGTCCCTCGGTCTAGGTCAGCTTGAGTACCTCGCTACGCACACTACTTCCCCTCAAACCATGCTGTATTTGTATGATACTGATGTACTCACTAAAATACAGAAGACGGTGCTCCTCATGCAGATACAAGGTACAGATTGAAGACTTCAACAGTCGGGTTGATCTCCTGTATGAGAAGGAATATGAACGATGTTCTTTTCAGTGAAAATATTACAAGGATCTGTCTTGTTACATATATAAATGAAGTTGTTAAAAATGACTGACTACTACAATCAATAAAGACCAAATATTTGGTTTGAACATACAAACAGTTCAGTTTTCATTCATGTGAATATTCCCAAATTTGAAGTTTTACACATTTTGTTGTAGTTGAAATGTTTGTCAAAGTGATTGTAAGGAAAACAGCTGGTACCAGATTAAATGACTACAGCTACCAATTGCAAGATAAATGTTATAAACAAAAAGTAGCCAAGGGAAGGGCAGACGGGCAATTTCCCCTATGACAAATTGTTGCTCCCCCAGTCAAATCCCCCCCCCCCCCCAATCGAATTTTGCAAAAACAATTTGAGAAGCAACCTTCTTTTTACTAGTGCACTTTGTTAATGTTGCTCATGTCTCTTTACTATGTGCCACCATGAAAGTAGCACCTATTTTTAAGTGTTAGATTTTTGTTTTATGGTCTGATAGTGTCAGTTTTGTAGGGTACCTCCATAGAAAGATGGTGTCAAACTCCCTCCCCCCACACTCTTTCATTTCACACAGACCAGGTGACTGTCAATAACCCTTTATAATGTTCAGGAGTGATGTTAAAGACATTGGTCCCCCCCCCCCTCCCCGCAACTTAGTATAACATGAAATCTCCTAACTTGATCCACTATGGTGAGAATGTTCGTCAGATATATGCTACCATGAACGTTAGTGTTTGCTTTGACATATTATATGAAAACACCCCTCCTATTGCTCCCCCCCCCCCCACAAAAAAAACCACATGCTTTGATTTTATGGAAGCCAGGTGACTGTGAACAACCCTGTCTGCCTTTCAGCACGTACGCTACAAAAATTGGGTGCCCCCACTGCCTCCCCTTACTTTAACATTAAATCCTCCCAGCTTCCTCCTCTATGGTAAGAATGCATGCTTGTAATTTACACGTACATGTACATGTATATGGACATCAAATAATATCACCTCACCTGCAGCAGAGCTAAGCCTATTTTCACAGTAGATACTGGCAAATTGAATCCAGGCTGCGCTGACTGAAATAATTGTCATCTCCTGTCAAGAACAGCAACAGATAGAAAACAAGTTTTCATTAATATTAATACTACCTAGACATGTACATGTATGTCACAGACATGGTTTTAGTTTTATTAAAATATTGTCTCCAAGTCATTTTAAGCAAAACAGCTGATGTCAGATGCTGGATTACTATCACTCATGAGGAATGCATGATACAGAGGTGTAGTACTTTTTTCATTGTGCCACTATGAACAGCAGCACCTATTTTGTAATTTTCAGATTTTACTTTTATGGTCCTATAGTGTGTGTTTTGAAGGGAACATAGAAACATGATATTAAGGCCCCCCACCCCTGCCCCACACTCTTTCCAGGGTTCGACTTTAGTGATAGCCCCCTTGCCAAATCAAAACAGCGGCAGGCAAGTCAAACTATTCCTTAAGTAGACCAGTTGGCAAGTCTGAAATTATTGGAATACATGGATACATGTTTTACATGTATGCACATTAATGTTCATGAGACACTATAAAAGAAAAAAACATGCAGGCTAGTGAAAATGCCCACAAGCTAGTTAACAGTCTCTTTCAGTAGACCGGCTAGCTAGTGGAAAAAAAGTGTAGGTCAAACCCTGCTTTCAGTTTACACAGGCAAAGTGGCTGTTAAGAACCAATAAATCACACAGCAAGAACCCTTTCTAACATTCACCACGGATGGCACAGAAATTGGGTTGCCCCCACTCCACTTCTGTAACATCAAGTGGCCCTGCTTGCTTCCTTATGTTGACAATGCTTTTCAAATATACACACATTTAATAATAACAGATCAACTTATGTAAAAAAAAAATTCGACTTACTTAAAGAGTTGCAGTCGAGCCATGACTGCTTTGACAGTGGATTTTGGCAAAATGAATATAAAATGTGCTGAAGTAACATGGTCATCTAAAGACAACGAAGTTGACGTCCTGTGTGATTTATTGGGTGCTGGCAACTAAACAATCAACACCCGTTTGGAAAACCATATTTGAGCACTTCATTAAAACAAAACAACATATTTACTTAATTGGCTATATTAACTGAACACCACCACCATCAATAATAACTTTATTGATCCAGAAAGGTGACATTATGTCGATGAATTAAATGAAGCAACTGAGTACATCTAGCACAGCAGAGTTCATATATGTGCAACCTGCACGTTGCCATTACAAGTGGTCTACCAACTCAGTTATTTAGCATTATGTTGGTGTTTCACTGTTAGTTTATTGGAAAACAATTCCATGGAATAGTTCTAAGAACAACATACATATACGTTGTATTTGTACTCACCGAGGCAGCTTTAATCCACCCACATGTCCAGTTGATAAGACAATGTAAAGTGGCCGATGGGCATGGTGCAATGCTTGTTGTCAACAAAGCATCCTTCAAATGTTGACAGGCAAGTTCAGTGCATTTGAGAGGTGAGCTAAAGCAATTATTAGATGGATCACAAAAACATAACTCAATTACAATTAGTTGGTTTATTTATGTAATGAAAGTGTTCCAAAGGACATTTTGGTTTTTGTTTCTATCCTCTCAAACACTTTGTTGTGTACGCTTTGTTTCACACTTTGGTTCTGCATTTTATATTACCTGAACAATGTTTCACATTTTCTTCTTATTTTTTTCATCTTATTTTAATTTTTTAATGTTTATTTACACTCAAACTTAAAGTTTATGAATTTATTAATATACATTGATCGAGTGTAACATGATGAAAATTTGTAAAACAATAATTTGTTAGCAATTGGTTTATTGCTTTTAAGAAGTGACATTGCATGAATAGATCTGCATGTACATGTATCTTAAAAGTTAGATATACGCATCAAAACGTGCAACCTGCAACTTGCCGTAATTGTTTACCAACTCAGCTATTTATCTTTCTATTGTTGGTTTTCCTTTTAATAAATAATTAATTTCCTTTTAACTAATAATCTGAAATCCAATATACTCAATATTCTGCACTGATAATACCAGCCTGCTGAAAGTTCTGCTCCTTTTTCCAAATACACTGACACCTCCATGACATTGTTGTTGTAACACACGTGTTAATGCACTGGAATTATCATATGAAACTCGTCTGATCTGATGATAGCATTTAAATTCTGTTAATTCTGTATCTAAGTTCAACTGTTCATCAATCCACGTTTCAGTAAGACAAATGAAATCAGATTGTATCATTTCATTGTTGCATTTCAAGTCCATATAATGTTGAATATTATGCATCATAATAACAGTTCCATTTGATTGTTGTCTCCTTACATTTGCCTCATCATCAATAAATGCTGGCATGCTCTTCAATGATTCTGACACTGCTTTATTACAATAATTGTATTTCTCATCAAATCCTTCAATTGCTAGGCCACTCATTGACGTAACTCTGCTCAATGCAACATACGCTTGTCCACATGCAAAGGTGTTTTTAAGCGAAACAACTGCTTTATCTGTTGTCATTCCTTGCACTTTGTGAACTGTGCATGCCCAGGCTAATTTTAAGGGAAACTGTTGTCTAACACACTGCTAAGTCACACTTTCCTCTTCCTTTTGAATTGGAACTGTTGCTTCATAATTGGATGACTTGACTTTTCTTTTCAACTTAGATCCAACATTCTTATTATCAAACTCAACTTCAATGCACTTTGGCCAAGATTTGTCAGGCAACATAATTATTTCACAAAGACTGCATTCACAAGTCCATCTGATACATCAATATTCTTAATTAACATGACTCTAGCACCAACACCTAACCACAATGATTCAGGCAAGTTTGTGTATGTTGATTTCTTAGGAACCTTTACCTTTCCTTTACGATTACCTCTACTTGAATCTTTTTGCAAATCCTTTGCAACAATGCATGTACAATCAGTACACTTTGCAAACAATGTCTGCGTATTGTATTCATCAACCTGTTTGTTACATGGAAAGATATGCAATGCATCATCCCAATCCTCTCCAGTTTCCCGACATCTTAACATTGTTACATCTTCATCTGATAACTTATGTACCTTTGATTTGATACGTAATCTATTCAATATTAGAGCAAATTCAACATCATCTTTTTGTCGCATAATTTCATTCAGCTCAACTTTCTTAAAAAGATCATTCCACAGATCAATTGCAACTGCTCTCTGATGCAATGGTTTTCCTTTTACAGGAGGCAACTGATAAAAATCACCAACAGCTAAAATGCTGACATTTCCAAAAGGATTATGATTACGTGTTTGTTTTATCTGACGCAAACGTCCATGTATGTAGCACAGAATCTTATGATCAACCATTGATATTTCATCAATAACCAAAATTTGAAGATCTTGCAATGTATTCCTTTTAGTATTTAGCTTCTCTTCACCAAGAGGTTGATAAGGTAGTCTAGCATCAACAGGGATTGACAAGGCACTGTGTATTGTACTTCCATTGACATTAAATGCAGCAACTCCTGTAGGAGCAGTGATCAGAACTGAAACAATATCCGAAATAGGAACAATTCTAGCAAAAAGTCTTGTTGCTTCATAGTGAACAGATTTAATTAAGTGGCTTTTTCCAGTACCAGCTCCACCTGTCACAAATACATGAAATGGTTCAGGATTCTTCCCATTGACCTTCTGTAAGCACCAGTTACGAATCTTATTGAACACCTGTCTCTGTGTTTCATTCAATGATCTTAGTAAATTCAGCGCTTCATGCTTTGAAATGTTCAATGAATGTGGTTCAATATTACATATTTTACCATCTGTTTCATCAGCTTGCAAATCTGGAATTCCAAATTCATTATCTTCATCTATTAATGGTTCACGTTCTGCTTGAAAATCAAGTCTGTCTTGCTCAGCCTTAGGACAAATCAAAGCCCAAGCATCTTCTTGAGGACCAAATTTGTTCACATACTGTTCTGCTGCTTCGAGAGCCTCAGCATTTGCCTCGTACATGGAGCGGTTACTTTCGACAATGCCTCTCACACATTTTAATTCCTCATTTAGACGGATAGCTCCATTTTTATAGAACAGTTCATAGGTTTCATATTGACCTGGTTTCAGTTGAGCATCTACATGATATGGAAGAAATAACTGTAATATACTGTGGTAGTATTTCTCGGGGTATTTATCCTGTGAAAACCGAGGGTATCTTATCACTGCAGGCTCAGTTCTACTCCGTTTCTGTATGTGGCTCAAACCATCTTTAAGAGCATACATTGGTGACTTATTACTTTTCCCATCTGTGTTTCCACTATAAACAATTCTGTACTCTGAGCAAAATGTTGCAAGGCACATGTCATTAAATTTATCAAGATCTGGTCTTGCTCTATACCGATCAATTCTGTTGGGCATGAATATATCACTATCATCATCTTCACATCTGCTCTGAATTACATTTAGTGGCAAGCTCATCCTCACTGGATTCTCACTTACAGGAATAAACTCTACTTTTCTAGAACCCTCTTTCAATCGAAGACCACAAACACGAAACACTGCTTCTTGAGCTGATATCTCTCGATTATGTAGATACACACAGCCTAGTTCTTTCATGCTTTGTCTTGCATCTAAATTACCTCTTTGTGCTTCTCTCTGTGTTTTTGCTAATAATTGTCCCATTTCACGTTCAGACTTAGACATATACGACACAACATAAGCTGCACAGGCATAGGCATCACTAATATATTGAATATCCATATTCGCATTCCAACATCTAATCAAATCAGGATTGTAGAGATCGACCCATACATCTTGTGGTTCTCTCTTCAGAAGAATACTAGGTTTGCTACTCAAAACATTATTTGCTTTTTCAAAATCATCTTGTGTTATATTAATTTGATTAAATAATTCTGCAGTTGACAAATGCTGGTTTTCCTCATTCTGTATTGCATCCCACACTGACTTCAATAATTCTTTGGAAATATGATGCTTCTTCCCATCACAGTAGTTTGCATTATCTGTTGTTCTCTCATTATCACTATTTTCATCAAAAGAAAAATCATCAACATCTTCATTCACATCTCCAACGTCTACAG